TCACCAAGGTGGAGGCCCAAATCAAGTTTGAGCCCATCTCGGGTTCCAGGACCAGTCTGTCATAAAACTAGCCACACGGGCGCGTCCGGGCTCCGTTTTCGACGATCCACATATGGATGGAAAGATAATTAGATAAGGAAGCCAATGCAAGTGGTCTCACGTCAAAAGCCCTTTCGGAATCAACAGGAATCGTTGAAACAAGTTGGTGTCCAGAATCTACCAGGGTGCTGCGACCCCGTTTTTTGGTCCGTTGGACCGTGTATTGTCTTAGAGCCCATTAGGGGGCGTGTCCAGGGGGGTGACATCTGGAGCTCTATAATTAGCAGCCGTCGCTCTTCTTAGTGGTGGGGTTTTATTTAGTTCTTGATTTCCTCATGAAACAGACGTCGTTTTGCTGCAACTGTGCCGCCAAGGCCGCTTGCTGTGAACCAGGGCCCCTGTTCTTGATCTTGTTCGCCTGTGGCGATTAGTACTTTTGAATAAAGACTTGAACTCCTCCTTATCATAAGCCTCATATTTATTTGCAATTTCAGATTATGTTTATCCCGTTCTTGCTTGTGTTCTCGATTCGCTTGTAGGAAAGCCTTCTCGGCGAGGTCAATCACGTTCGCGTGGTTGATAGTCAACGGAGCAGTGGTGTAACGGTTGTGAGGATCCGAATCAGTCTTGGTTCGAAGCCTAGATCGTGAACATCAAGTCTCCACCAATCGACGCTATTGTACCTATCGAAAGATCGAGCCTTGTCTATATTAAGTGGTATCAGAGCCCTTGTTGCCCGTTAGGTATACTTTTATTTTTCCTTTTAGATTGTTGTTGTTTTTGCTTTACCTATAGTCCACAAAAAGCTACAAAAATATATATACCGCCTCATATTCCCTGTCCTATAGCCTCGTTGTGCCGTACAATTTCATCTCTGTTTCACGTTGTTGAGTTTGTTTTCTAGGGCAAGTTCTAGTTGCTGGTTTTAGATCATTTTTAGTCCAGTTTGTGTCTTTTCCTTTGTTGTTTATCATAATCCGTGAACACCCTCAAGTCTTGCTGTATTTTTTTTTGTATCGATCAAATCCTAGTCCACGCCATCTAATTTGTTACACTTATCTTCACTGTTTGCATCTATCCATAGCCGTCGCAACAACTTTTATGCGCATTGTTCCCGTTTTATCCTTTAATTCGGAGTCAGTTCTCAAAACTGGTCTAGTTTTCGCATACGAACTCAGATTTCGATGTTTCATATATCAAAATCAATCAGAAAAATTTTTTGGATCCGTTGGTCCCCTGCCTTGTCGGGTTTGAAAATTTTTATTTTGGTCAAAAACTGGTCACAAGATCCTCTTTTCGTGGTCACAAGCTTTTTGTCAATTTTAAGCACGTCTTTTGAATTTTCCACAGGCACACCTTTCACTTGTTTAAGCTCATATTTTCTGTGGTTACTTCTTTTGTGGTCCTAAGTGAAGAAAAAATATCAAAAAAATAAAAAGAAAAAGTCAAAGAATCCCAAAAAACAACGACAGCCCAAAAATAGAGAAAAAAGAGAGGGGCAAAAGTAGAACAATATCTAGAGGAGCATATAGAGAGCGCCATTTGAGATGTGTTTGCATGTGCTGATTTCTGCCTTGTTCCTAATCATATTCCTGCTATTCACATCACTTGATACATCTGATACTTGGAACGTTAATAGGCCAGCAACTAAGACAAGTACTCGGGATACTTATTCATCTTTGCTATTCAGTTGCGAATATTGCTATTCCTTGCTACTATATTGTGCCTGTCCAAGCTCCACTTTCTTCTAACCAAGTACATGTTCGTCTTGCAACTGTTACACTCAAGCTACAACAGTATCACAGTCACCGACCGATTGCACCGTCTATTGCTTTGGTAAGAACACTTGTAAGACCGTGGTAAGACGCTTAAGAGTGTGTGATAAAACTCCTTGACCACATCCTACTTATGATGGTATTGGTGCTGATGAGTACAATGAGTGGAAAACTAAAATAGATAATATTTTTGCACAAAGTTATATATACAAATGGAGAAAAATTAAAAATGCAACTGGTGTTTTGAGACAATCTGCATCAACTTGGTGGGAGTCTTTAAGTTTTTGAGATAAACCTCACACATGGAATGATATGAAAGATCTTATGAGAGAAAAATTATTAATCCATCGCTTGTAATTAATTCAAATGATGAGGTATATCAACTAGATCAATCTCTTATTATTCCTCCTGCTATACCTAACCTTTTGTAGGATAATGTACAAAAGAGCTAGGATGACGAGACAGAAAATGAGATGCTCACAGCCTCACGTGAAAATTCAGAACCATCAACTATTACTCCTACTGAACATGAGAGCAAAGGTAATGCCCATGATGCTAAACTCACGGAAGGTGAGAGTTCTCTTGATGTGCTGAATTTTTCCACCAATCATGCTATGATAGAGCAAATTTTAGTGGAGCCTTCGCTTGATTTACCTTTGTCACAAGATGATTTGCTTGATGTTCCTTGCGACGAAGATGAATTGCATGATGATATTTATGTTATACCCATGCAATCATTGAAGAACAATCATGCTATATGTGTGCTGAAATCGAACACTTGTGTTGAAAATAGACTTGTTATTCATAATGCTAGTGAAGTTGATGAGCTAAAATTGTTGTCTTCTTTAAATACTTTGGGTTACATTAAATTTGATGTTCCGTGTAATCTTAGTTTTTTAGAGGAGAAACTTTATGCATATGCTGATTTGTCATGATTCTCTAGACATACATATCATGTTTTTGGCTAATATAACAACTAAGGACAATATTTTATACAACGAGTTTACATTTGTATAAATTCGAATTCTCCTTTTATTGTGCAAAATAATGATCAACTAGAGGACAGTAAAATCAACACTGTTGTTATGCCATATTTCTCTAGTTTTGCTTTTCGAACACAAGTGGAATTCAAAGGAAGGGAGCATATATTTCTTATTAGTACTAATCTTTTGCAGGATAGTATTGGCAAAGATCGTGTGTATTTCAATCAAGTAGACTACATGTCTGTAGGACAAGACATGCTACAAACCTAGACATGTGCTCATATTCTTTCTCACAGTATTGTCCATTCCTATTATTTTGGAAACCTCGTTTGTCTTCATATTGTGCAAGATCGACTTCAAGCAAAATCGACGCCGAGGATGGCTTTTTATGAAGAAAGGGAGGATGATGAGGACATGAGCTCCATGCATACGACCATGCTTGGAGATAGAGGACGAGGAGATCAGCGAGGGTGTCCTAACCGAGAAGGAGATTCAAAGCTCATCTGGTTCGAGTCACCAAGGTGAAGGCCCAAATCAAGTTCGAGCCCATCTCGGGTTCCAGAACCAGTCTGTCATAAAACTGGTCACACGGGCCTGTCCGGACTCCATTTTTAACGATCCACATATGGATGGAAAGTTAATTAGATAAGAAAGCCAATGCAACTGGTCTCACGTCAAAAGCCCTTCGGAATCAACGGGAATCGTCGAAATAAGTCAGCATCTAGAATCTGTTAGGGTGCTATGACGCCGTCTTTTGGTCCGTTGGACCATGTATCGTCTTAGAGCCCATTAGGGGGCGCATCCAGGGGGTGACGTCCGGGGCTCTATAATTAGCTGTCGTCGCTCTCCTTAAGGGTGGGGTTTTGTTTAATTCTTAATTTCCTCGTGAAACAGATGTTGTTTTGCTGCAACTGTGCCGCTAAGGCCGCTTGCTGTGAACTAGGGCCTCTATTCTTGATCTTGTTCGCCTGTGGCGATTAGTCCTTTCGAATAAAGACTTGAACTCCTCGTTATCATAAGCCTCATATTTATTTGCAATTTCAGATTACGTTCATCCCGTTCTTGCTTGTGTTCTCGATTCGCTTGTAGGAAAGCCTTCTCGGTGAGGTCAATCACATTCGCGTGGTTGATAACCAACGGAGCAGTAGTATAACGGTTGCGAGGGTCCGAATCAGTCTTGGTTCGAAGCATAGATCGTGAACATCGAGTCTCCACCAATCGACGCTATCGTACCTATCGGAAGATCAGGACTTGTCTACATTAGCAGGGCCTCTTCCAAGCCGTCCGCAGCTCCCTCTGCCGCCGATAGGACCGGGCTCCGGCCATCCGCCGTCGCCGTTGACCGCTTCCCTCTGCCCTGCAGCTCCCTCTGCCCTGCTCGCAGCGTCTGCGCTGCGCTCTTGTCGCGTGAAGGAGTTAGAAGGAAAGGGGAAGAAGAAATAGAGAATGACGAGCGGGTCTCATTTGTCATTGTGTACAGAAATATATTTGGGGGCCAAATTTAGATGCTGTTGTTGGAGTGAAAGAAAAAAAATGAAGCATCCAAAAATAGAGCAGAACACCCAAATTAAAAAGTAAGGGCTCTGAGTGCCCGGCTGCTCTTAGTCCTCCGTGATCCCGTCTCCGTCCGCCCGCAAACACGTTTGCCCAGTTGAAACGGAGTTCCCTTTTCTCCGTCCAGTCTTCCGCTTAGAGCATCTCCAAGAGTTTGTCAAATTTTACTTAGCAAATCTTGTGATTTGCCAACTCCCAAAATTATATGCCAAGTAAAAAAACAATCTATCTCTAAGAGTTTGGCATTTTTGACTTGGTAAAATAAAAAAACCCGTTAACAAAACGAAGAGGCCCGCTAAACGAACGAAGAGGCACTCTAAAAGCGAAACGAAGAGCCCGCTAAGAAACGAAGAGCCCGGATGCCAAAAGCCGTATATCGCTGGCGATATATTTCTTGTATGCTGCGAAGGGAAGATTCTTCTAAGTTGGTATTGATCTTTAAGTTGTTTTGTTAAATTATTGGAGGTTATTTTTTTTTATTTTGCTAAAATTATATGGATGTTAAGTTGAGATAGCGAACTTTGGAGATGCTCTTATAAAACACGCCACCGGGCTTGCTCCTGCTTCCCGCAAGCATCCAATCCAAGAAAACCAAGCCAAACAGGCAAGCCAGAGGAAGAAGCAAGAAACCACCTGCTCCCTCGCGGAGATGTCGTCGCAGCTGATCGAGGACCACCGGTCCGGCGCGGAGGTGCACGCCGGGCACGAGGTGTGCACGCCCAAGTCCCGCGAGCTCATGGTGGAGCTGGGCCTCCCCGACGGTCTCCTCCCGCTGCCCACCCTCGACGAGGTGGGGTACAACCGCTCCACGGGCTTCGTGTGGCTCCGCCAGGCAGCCGGCGTGACCCACACCTTCGACTCCATCGGCAAGCAGGTGTGGTACGACAAGGAGGTGACGGCGTTCGTGGAGCCCGGCCGGATGCACAGCCTCGCCGGGGTCAAGAGCAAGGAGCTCCTCATCTGGGTCACCATCTCCGAGATCGTCCTCAGCCCCTCGGGCACCAAGATCGTATTCCGCACCCCCGCGGGGCTCGGCCGCGCCTTCCCCGTCACCGCCTTCCAGCTCAAGCCCGCGGCCGAGGAGAGGCCGCCGCCGCCGCCAACTGATCTGCGTAGCTTCCGGCGCCGGCGGCTGCGTGTGGGCTGCTCGATCTGGCCGCGGCGCCGCGAGATCCGGCGATGACTCTGTGAGTTGATTGAGGTTTCCTCCGCAGTGTATGTGTAATGGTAGTGGATGATGATGCAGGAATAAACGGCGTCCCTGGATCCAGAATTCATGACTGTGTGCGCTAGTGCTGCCACTGTTTGATTTTGGATTGATTGACAACTCGTCTCTGATCCATCCAGTTTATTTATGGTCGTATCGATCTCTGTTTCGTTGCCCCCATTTCCTCCATGTATATGTATCAGATTGCATTGCCTGTTTGTTTGCTGGAATGATGCAATTCTACTTGCTGCGGCCTCGTCTCGTCAGATCTTGGATCCTGATCCTCACAATGGATCAGGGACAAGGTACAGAAACGATTCTAAAGATCTAACTTTGTTTGCTACTTAGTACATGTTCATGATCCGTCAATTTGGTCATGTTTTGTTGAAATTGGTTGCCTGTGAGGTGCGTTTTGAAATTTTAAGCAAGGCTTCAGAGTTTTAGTACTTTGGCATTGAGTCAGTGCATGCATACAGCATACCTTGCGGCTCCACAGCTCGGCATCTCACTCGTGTTCATCAAAGGAGTTACGAGCTGAGCAAGGTGGTTAGCATTTAAGTATAAACCTTCATGTGCAATGCACTACTACTGCAACAACCTCTAGATCTGGACACTTGTCTACCGGATGTTGGGCATTTAAACCTGTCTCTGCTTGCCCTAGAGGGTAAACGGCCTGCACGAACACTCCGTTCCGTCCGGCTCGCAAGCAACGGAAACCGCTCGCTTGACAGCACACGCCGGTGCTCAGAGCATCTCCGAGAGAATTTTTAGCGAGAATTGAAAAAATCATCTCCATCAGTTTCCAATCCTACCTCTTAATCTTTTGCGTGAATATATGTGCGTAGAAGAATGAAAAAAACATATCTCCAACCGTTTCTAATCCCACCTTCCAATCTTTCACGTGAATATATCTAGACATAGGCCAATCTAAGGGTGTGGCTAGCGCTCGGACATCCGGACGGACGTGCGCGTCAGGACGCCCGCCCTAGTCCGCCATCGCCCCACCCTCGTCCGGATTTGCCCCGCCCCATGCGCACACTCCGCACCTGTATCTGCGTCCGTCGTTCGTTCCCCCGACTTGCTCCTCTCTCTCCGCGCGGGCGGCACTCGAGAGTCGGGCCCCGGCGTGCCCCCGACTGGAGCACCCGTCTGCCTGCCCCTAGCCCCCCCACCCCACTGGCACGCCGCACGCACCGTCCTCCTGCCCCCCAGCTCGCCCCCGGCTGAACAACATAAAGCACTTGCAACACGAAAAAAATTAAATGCAACATACGTATGAAAAACAGATAAAATACTTAAAACATGCACTTGCAATATGTGTATGGGACACATAAAACATAAAAAAAAATAACACTTACAACTTACAACATGAAACCACTTGCTGCAACATAAGACTGGAACTATTGAAACATTTTAGAACATACTGTTACAACATATGTGTGAAACATATGCAATATTTAGATAAAAAACGATTGCAACATATGTCTCGAAACAAATGAAACATTTTGAACAAACGATTGCAATATGCATCTGAAACACTTGCAACATGCCCCGATCTACTTTTGCAACATCAAAATAGAACAATTGCAACATACATCTGAAACGTCTGAAACAATTGAAACATACATCTGCAACATCGGGGAGGGGAAGCCGGGGGCTGGTCGGGGTCGAAGCCGACAGCGAGCGGTGGCGTCTGTGCGAGCACCACCACCACCACCAGCGGGCTTGGCTCAGCGGGGCGGGTGCACTAGCTCCAGCGGCATGTGCGCACACCACCGCCACCAGCACTGGTCTTGGCTCGCCTGAGCGGGCGGCGCGCTCGACAGGATGGGCGAGAAGCGCTCGTGGCAGGGGCAAGCAAGCGGCGCCGGATGGGGCACGCGGCAGCAGCGAGGCAGAGTGGCATCCGCGTTCGGGATAGGACGGACGGAGTGGCATCCGCAAGGCGATGTGGTGGAGAGGAGGGAGCGGAAGGGATAAGAAGTTTTTTTCTTTTTATAGAACGGTTGGGGGCGAGGGAGAGTGGATGAGCGGTGTTAGGCTGCGTCGCGGCCCACTATCGGCACCGTCCGGGCGGACGGACGCCCTATACCTAGCATTACCGCCAATCTAAAGGTGAAAGGGTGTGTGAAAAAAATAAAAGAGTAGAAAAGTGAAAGGACCTAGGATGTCGCCTAGAGGGGGGTGAATAGGCGTTTCTGAAAATTAATACCTTTAAATGCGGAAACAATTAGAAAGGGGAGTTTCCAAAATGGAAACTCCAAATTAAGAGTACTACCACCCCTCACAAGTTAGCCACAGAGTAAACAAGGTATAAAGAATATATCTAGAAGCTACAACCCCGCAACATCAAGTTAGAACAGAGAATAAATATTTTTAGTGCGGGCGAAAAATCTGGGACGTGTCCGGTATGAATCTGGACGTGTCCGGTATACACATTTCTGAGATCAGCCCGAACTTGCTCCTTTTGATTTCTATCTTCAAACCAAACTGTAGGCACCTAATTTAACTATCGGTACACAGAGAACCTGCACACAAGTGCTAGAGCAACACAAATATCAAATGAAATGCGAATTGAGACACGATATTTGTTTTACGAAGTTCGGACTCGTTCGAGTCCTACTCTCCGTTGAGGGGGCTGCAGGCGACCAGTGAAGGTCAGCCCTAGAGGATACCACGAAGGTCACTCTAGCCGAGTCTTTTCCAACTCCTTTTCCTCCTTCCACTAATTGATTCCGGTAGTGAATCGACCAATTCTAAACTTTCCGAGGCACACCACAATCTCCCGGTGCTCTCCGTGATGTCTAACCGTCTAGGACCGAAGAGTCCAAGAGTAACAAATCACGAATCACGAGATTGACAATATGCACAAGTGCTCAAGTGGTTGGATGGCTCTCTTTTGAATTTCACTCAACCCACAAATTGATTTTGCAAGTTTGATCAATCACTCACTAAGAGAGGGTTGGCAAGGCTCAAAAACGTGTGTCTAAGTCGAGTAGAATCAGCAGACCTCCAAAGGTGGAGGCTTGGGGGTATTATAGCCCCTTGAAAAACTAACCGTTTATAGCCGTTGCAATACGGACACGTCCGGTATGCATACCGGACACGTCCGGTATGACTCGAGATCTGCATAACGGTAACTAAATTCTGATGATGTTGTGAGGCCTCGGAACTCCCGAAGTATGCGGGGACTTCCGACCGTCGGAACTCCCGACTCAAGTCGGAACCCCGACCCTCGGCAATTTTGAAAAACTTGTAATCGAAGTTAAAGTTAGTGAGGTGTCGGAACTCCCGGCGCATGTCGAACTCCCGACCCTCACGGCTTTTTGAAAACTAGCCGTTGGCTTCGGTCATCCATACTGGACACGTCCGGTGTGAATACCGGACACGTCCGGTATGACCGGGACAGATGAAACCTCAAAGTGTGTTGAAGTGCGAGGCGTCCGGAACTCCCGACTCATGCCGGGACTCCCGACCGTCCGGAACTCCCGACCCACGTCCGAACTCCAACAAAGCAACCCGAGAACAACAATTTTGCATTTGCTGGACAAATCTGGGACACGTCCGGTATGAATACGGACACGTCCCAGTTGCCGCATCAACAAGAAATCAGTTAGCACATTTGTCGCTCAAATAATCAAACCTCACATGGGTTGGCTTGAGCACTTATGAAACATTATCTATCAACATGATGCATCCCTCTTAATAGTATACGGCATACCTATTAAACTCAAGATCAAAAGAAAAATGAATTTATACCACTTGAGTTGATTTCTTTTGAATTGATGTCGTCCCTTCCAATCTTCATCAAGTAAGGGTGCTAACAAGTTGATGTTGATCTTTTCATTTGAGCATAGCCATCTTGAGCATGTGACTTGATTCCATTCATCAAATTTGAATAACCCCAAATGTATCAAGTCACTTCCATCAAATACTTCATTATAGATTTGATTCTTCACATCAATATGACCATCTTAGCTTGATTAGTACCTCAACTAAATGCAAGTACTTTCTTCTTCACCCTAGCTAGGTTCTTGACGCCAAGCCGTCGCCGCTGCCCTTCACCCTTGCTTAGTACCTCGAAGCCTTTCCTTGCTATCTTCACCATCTCAAGCCATCAAGTCACATCTTGTGTTGAATCATCCATTCATATGTATTGTTATCTTTTCATTTTAATTTAGCAAGCTTCAAATATGAGACCATTCCATATGCAATCCCTCATGTCTCATTAACTAATAATCATGAGCTTGCTTTCACATAGTCAATGGAAATCCCACAAAAATAAGCCTTCACATGAATTCCATTTGCATTGTTGTCTTGTGCTCGAACTAGATTGTTTATACAACAACACATCATTTTGGCTTTCATTAAGTACCTGTGAGATAACCTATTACCTGTTCACACTTAGCAAGCGGGTTAGTCCTTTAATCACGTTGTCATTCAATCAACCAAAACCCCTAAAGGGCTAGATGCACTTTCAATCTCCCCCTTTTGGTGATTGATGACAACTTGATTAAAGCTTACAAAATGATATAAACATTTAAACTTTTGGGTTCAATGATTTATGAGAGGCTCCTCCTTAATATGTGCTTATGATTAGAATTCACAAAATGACCTCGATTTGTTAATTGCACATACTAAAACATATAGGAGACTCCCCCTAAATCATTGCATCCGTGGGGTGCATGTGTGTGTCAAAATAAAAACCATGATGCATATGACATGATATATCACACAAGACTAAACAAAAAGCATCACACCATACAAAGTCACTCTAAAACATGCATGGTCCTTATGAAAGTAAATACATCATATATATCACACACATAGCACTCATCTCAAAGATTTCTCAAGTCATATCTCTCCCCTTGTCATAGCTAGACACAAGGTTGCACTCCTGAAGCTTTAAACATATCTCTCCCCCTTAAGCTTTCATCTCTCTCCTCCTTAAGCTTTAATCATATCTCTCCCCCTTT